TCCATCTTTCGCAGGAGCACAGCTGTGTTATTAACATCGGGGTGGGTAAGAACCTGGACATGCTCAACAACCTCATCAACTTCCTGGACCTTGTGTTTGCTGAGCACCTAAGTGAGTAACCCTCTCCGGCCACCATACACTCACTCCCTCCAACCCAGGGCAGGAGGCCAGGACCCAGGACCCAGCCCCCAGCCCAGGCAGCAGTGCCCGATCCTGGGGGAAGGGAGCCTGGCCATTTGGTCTTCTCTCCAGGCCCTGGGAGAAGGGTTCAGCTCACTGGGGCTGGGGGCTGGACAGTTGAGAATCCACCCCAAACAGTCTCCAAGGGCAGCTGGAAAAGCAGCAGCAGGGCGTTTGTATTTCCCAAGCATATTTATGTGTCCTGTTGTTTGGTCTGTCTGTTTTGCCCTGTTGTGTGTGTCATCCAGTTTTCTCTGATCATAGCCTCAGGGCTGGTACTCCACTTCTCTCCCCACAGAAGGAAAAGGTGCGGGGGCTGTGCAGTCCCTCTTCCCCTGGTTCTGCCTCTGTTTCCAGCGTGCCTTCAAGTCCTTCGAGGACGTCTGGAGGCTCTGGGAGGTGAGGTGCTCCGCTGGGGACAGCCCCACCCCTCTGGCAGGCAGCATGAGAGCGCTTTGGCTTGCCTCCCTTGATTGTTGGCTTTGGATGGAGTCCAGCAGCTTGGGGTTTGTTGGGCTGGTGACCCTGCTCCCACCTTGTGGAGGAGGCTAGAGCATCAGTTCATCCGTCTGTTTGTACAGTCCCACAGCTGCACCTGCTCAGGGAAGGCCGGGCAGGAGGAGGGGCCTGTGCCTGTCCATGGCCACCTGGCCTGCAGTTCAGCCTCCCTGCCCCCTGCCTCCTGCCCGGGCAGCCTCAGTCTGCTTCCGTTTCCTCAGCATCCCCCTCCACCTGGGTGCTGGCTCCCTGCTGAGCTCTCACTCCTAGAAAGGGTGGGGCCCCCAAAAGCAGGTCACACCTGCAGTGGTTTGATCCCGGTGCCCAGGGCTACCACAGATGAACCGCCCTGGGATCCTCACCACCACCTGTCACTGCCCTGTCTGGTGGCTTCCACGGCCTGCAGGACCCAGCCCAACTTTCAGCCTGGCACTCAGTGCCCCACAAGTCAGCTCCCACCTGCCTCACCCCTCCTTCCCAACCTGCTGGTCTCCATGCCCAAGGCCATGATCACCCCCAGGCCTTTGGTGACACCCCGAGGTTGTTGACTTCCCACCAACCATTGCTTTGACAAAGCTCCACTCAAATATTACAGATAGTTACCTAGTTATTCTCTCACCCTCTTCCTTCCTCCCTCTCTTTTCTCCCCCTTTTCCCCTCCTTGTTCTCTCCCTTCCTCATTCCCTCCCCTCTCTCCTTTTCTCTCTTCCTCCTCCTTCCCTCTGTCTAATGAATTCCCCGATTCCAGGGGAATTCAAGCTTTTTCTCTGATTCCCCCAGTAACCAGCACCATGCCTAGAACCCCAGAGGTAGCCATGACCACTTGCCTGAGTGAGTGAGTGAGTGAGTGAGTGAGCGAACGAATGAATGAGCAAGTCAGCAGCGAGGCTCAGGAATGGCTGACTCCGGGCCCGAGGTTGGTGGGCACCTCACCGCCTTACGGGCATGAGCAGTCTCAGGCCACAGGGCGCAGGCCGAGACTCCCCTGCCCTGCAGGTTCTGCTGACAGGGAAACCCTGCAGAAACTTCCAGGTGCTGGTGGCCTACAGCCTGCTGCAGATGGTGCGTGGGCAGGTCCTGCAGGAGAGCATGGCCGGCAATGACATCCTCTTGGTGAGAGCAGCCTCTGGCCAAGCCCGCCCCATGGCACCTCAGGGCCCAACACTGCTGGAGGCCAGGCTTGGGGGTGCTGGGCTGCACGCCCCCTTTGTACCCGGGCAGGAACTGTGATGGGGCTGACATGTCATGAGCACTGCACCAAGTGCTTTATAGACGAGCTCGTTTAAGATTCTTCACAACAAGCCCAACCCAGTGGGGCGATGACCATCATCATCCTCACCCCAACAGCATGTGAAGAAACTGAGGCCTGCCTCTGAGACTGGTTCCTAACCGCTAGGCATGGCTGCCTCACAGTTGACTCCCTAGGGTCCTCCTGTGGCAAAAGCCCTAGAGTTTTTCAACATTTTTAAAAAGCAGCTGAAGTCCTTGTTCAGAAAAATCTTAGGAGCTACCCCAGTTATAAAACAAGTCCTCTTTAGAAGCGCCTGAAACCCTCGGCGGAACTCCAGGGCTCCCTGGAGCCCAGTATGAAAATGGCATTTACCGTCCCCACAAAACATGAAATCCCCATGGTGGAATTGCAGGCACTGTGCCAGGCGGGTTGCGGAAAGGTCAGGGGGCCCGAGTGACTGCTGTGAGCGGTGGCTTTGCTCCTTCAGCATGTGCCCAGGGAGACCTGCCTCCCCCACCTTCTCCCGGCACAGGCCTGCAACAGACTGGTCGACCTTGATGCTGATGAGCTGATCTCCTCTGCCTGCTTGGTTTACGCGGACCTCATCCAGAAGGATGTAAGTTGCCTGGTGATTTTTCCTTCTCCTCTTCCTCACCCCAGAAGTGTTTCCTGATCTCCTAAGCCCAGCCCATGGCAGCCATTTTCAGCTTCAGAGGCAGTCGGTACCACTTTCTCTGCCACCAGCCCACAGGGGCTGCTGGGGTGCTCTGCATGGTCTTCTCGCTGTTTGCATGTGTAACTCCTGTCTCCTGGGACAGACTGCGCTTCCACGAGGACACAGCCCTCATGCCCTGTCCCCTGTGTCCATCCCAGGGGATCTGGGCACGGGGCTGGGCACCAGAGTCTCAGGAGAATGTCATTGGTTGGACAAACTGAAGGATGAGAGCAACAGACCAATGTCTGTGCCCCTCAATCTGCCAGACCCTCCTCTTCCTAGGTTCCTCAGCCATTGAAGGATTTCTTCCTCTGAGGACACTCACAATGGACCGATGCCTTCAGCGGACAAGATGAAGGTGGTGCGTCAGCTGTGAGGTCAGGATCAAGTCTGCTGGGGCGTCAGGGTGAGGGCATAGGTAATACAAGTGCAACACCAGCAGCCTTCCAGAGTCACTGTTTGTGGTGGGCAGAGTGTCTCCGGGGAGTGCTGGGGCAGGAGTGTGCAAAAGAAGAGAGTCCTGGTGGGTGAGAAGAAAGATCAAAGGGCTAGAGAGAGGTACCCGCAGGGAGGAGATTGTGGGGGTTGCAACTCTTCCAAGGCCGCAGTGGTTCTGCACCGGGAAGCAAGTGGTTAAGGGGAGCTTTCCTGCTTCCTGTGGTAGAAGCTGAACGTGTCTCCTAGGCTTGCTCAATCCCTTGGACTCAGCCCTGAGAGGAGGGTCTGACCCTAGGGCTTTGCTCCTGCCTTCCTCCCCTTAGTCCCAACACACCAACAGCACATTAAATTGTTTCTCCAGGGCTCCCAGCAGTCTGTGGAAAGACACAGCCCCAATCTCTGGCTAGCATGTGATTCCCCTTCTGGTTTCAAAGTTTCCCTCACAATTACACCTTCATTTCTCAGCCTGCAAATGTCTCCTCAAACTTGTCTATCTCTTTCAGCCTTACTCAGTCTCTCCAGAGAATGCCATCCTTTCCCTGGCCAGGGAGTTTAGTCTCTCCCTGTGGCAGAGGCTCAGGCCGGCTGCCCAGCCTGCCCATGCTCTGAGGGGTAACTGAGGGCAGATGCAAAATTGACTAGAAGAGGCTGGGGCTGGCCAGGTGCCCCTATACCTGCTTGGCTAGTGTGTTCACCTGTGTACACACACACACACACACACACACACACACACACACACACAGCCCTGCCCAGCGGCTATAACTTTTCAGAGGGGGCTGACAGATGAGCATGAGGGGTCATTGGTTCTGCTGTGGACCCAGGCCCTTGAGGTGAGATATAACTGCTCCGCCCTTCTGCTCCATCCTGTCACTCTCAGCAACCATGGCTCGAAAGGCACCATGTCACCAATTATGTCTGGTCTCCTTTCTCTCAGGTGACAATCTCCCTCCCATGGCTGGTTTTGAATCTCTTGGATGCTGTGTCTCCACCATAGCGGGGTGTTGCTGAAGAGTGGGGCCTGTTCCCCCACCAGGGTCTTTTCTGCCTGGCTAAGGAGCCAGCGCTCACTGGGCAGAAAGGTACATGGGTAAATTCATATACTGCTCTTCTCCGCAGGCTTATGTTCCCAAAACAGTTTATGTAAACAATGGTTCCCGCACGAAATGCAGTGCTCCAAGAACAAAACTGATTTTATTCTACCAAAGAACATCTTGGTGAACTAACTGTGGCCTTGGAAAGAAAAGAAACATCCGATATGCATTTTCTAGTGCTTCTTTTGGCCTAGTAGCATTAGCTGGCCTATGGGTTTAGGTTGGGACATAAACACAATGCCAAACAACGATTCCAACACTAAAAAACTCAAGTCACTCACCTTCTAGGCCAAAGGCTTTCAAACCTGTTTTTAAAATCACTGGTGCCCCATTGTAACAGTCTTTCCCAGGAGCCCAGTGGCTGAGATGTGGGTGGGAAGCCCAGAGCCCTCCTCTCTGTGATCCCATCAGACCCTCCCTGAAGCTTATATCATTCCCTGTGGTGCCTGAGGAGCCTCTGGCCTGCTGGAAGCATGTTTGAAAACCTGTGCTGGTTTTAAAGATGAACTGGATTAAGTCTTGACACCAAATCGATCCAGGTTCAGATAAATTCCAGGTGATGTAGTGATGGATGGATGTAAAGGTCTTAGAGAGCCGAACTTGTCTCAGCTCACTGCAGCACTCCCAGCCAAGGGCAATCTTCCCCACAGTGCTGTGCAGATCATGGAGCCAGCATAGGCTTCTCCTCACTTAGTTTATCATTTTTATTACCCAGTGCTATTTTTTCCTAAGCCCAGCCTGGAGATAGAACTATGGGAAGCATTGAAATCCAACAGCCTAAGTTCCCTTCAGTGTAGGAACTGCGCTGGTCTAAATATGTTAATTCAGTACACATTTATTGAGTCCTTACTGTGAGCTGCCTGGTGTCCAGGCACTGAAAATTCAACAATGGGGAAAAGAGAGACATAATCCCCGTTTCCATGACACTTAGAGTTGAGTGGGGACCAGATAATTACCTTGAAGAATGTGTAATTGCACATTTCCTTTTGTGCTCTTAAGGACAGAAACATGATTCTAGGAGAGAAGAAGATAACAATTAGTGGTGGTGGTGGTAATGTCAATGATGATGGTGGTGATGTCGATGATGGTGATTGGTAGTGTCAATTATGGTAGAGTGATGATGGTGGTGGGTGGGATGAGTTATGATGTCAGTAATGATGGTGGTGAATGATTGTGTTAGTGATGTCAACTGAGGACAATATCAGTAATGTCAATGATGGTGGTGGTAGTAGTTGTAATGGTGATGTGAGCAATGGTGTCGAGTGGTGGCAGAGGTGGAAATATAAGTTTTGGTACTGATAATGGGTATGTCAGTGAGATTAATGTTATCAGTGACATTAGTGTCAATGGCGTGGTGGGGTTAGTGACAGGTATGATGTGGTATGATGGTAGTGGAAGCAACTGGGATGTCGGTGATGATGGTGACTGTTGGTGGTGTTGTCAATAGTGTCATAGGGTTGGTGGCAAAGGTGTGATATCATTGCTGATGGTGGTGGTTGTGGTGATGTCAGTGGTAGCATTAATGGCAGAGGTGTGAAACCAATTCTGGCAATGTTGGAGATGAAGATGATGGTGGTGGTAGTGCTTTCATTCAGTCAACAAAAAACTTAATGAGTGCCTACAATGACCATCTCTGTATTGATATCGATGACAGTGTTGGTGGTGATGGTAGTCATGGTGAAGATGAAACAGTGATAAATTTACTCTGAAAAAACTAATGCCTAACACTTTCTCAATATAATATTTTTAAATGAGTCATAGTGGCCATGAGTGTAGAGATAAAGAAAATGGAAGTACCTAGGCCTTATCCAAGCTTTCCAAAACTTGGTCCTCAGCCTGATATGAAAGCTTGGATAGTCTGTGACCTCATCCCACCACTCTTCCTTTTTCTCTTGTTCCAAGCCTCTTCCCTGGGGATCATTTATTCCCACTTCTCTGGCCACCTAAAATGACCTCAAGCTGACTCTTTGTTCTTAGAACCAGGATAATGGCTCTCCACCCACTAATAGATTCACAAGGCAGCATGTATAAAGATATAAGTTCTCTGGGCCCCAGAGTCTGTGTTTTAGACTCAGAGAGGGAGAAAGGAGGTGGGCTCTGCACCCATCCTCAGGCTGACCAGACCTTTGTCCAGTGAGGGGGAAAAGACTCCTCCTATCTTTAGGGGAAGGACATAACCAGTGGGCGGGGCTCCACTGCCCAGGACCCAATCCCATCCATGCAACCAGACTTGAGGTTAGAGCACTGGCCTCTCAAAAGGACTAGGGAGAAAGGAAAAGGGTGGTAAGGGAGTAAAGAAAGAAAAATGTAGAGTTTTAGAAAACTCGGGGAGGTAGCTAAATAGGAGGGAATGTGAGCTTTCTTCCTCAACTAACTAAAGATCATCAATCATGTTAGGGACCATCAACAGTGCTGGTTGAACATGGCAAAGTGACGAATTGTACTCCTGCACTGATCCTCAAGACTGATGCTTCCCACTGACAAAATTCCCAGACCATTCCCCATCCCAACCCAACACACACACGTGCGCACATACATACTCCCAGCCTGGGCATCCCTGATGGGTTTGTTTGTTACACTGACTGAGATGTAACTATGTTAGAAACATCTTTTTGTCTGCCTTTCAGAAAAGTCAAGATGTTCAGATCCATTTAGATCAAAGGAACTATCTACTCCTTCCCTCTTACTGCATAACACACACACACGTATCTGTCACCAAGTCCTACCAGTTCTACCCCTACATAGACCATTTGCTCAGTCCTACAACTGCTGGGGGAGGGTGGCTTGACTATGCTCTCTGACCCCTTTCCCTCTGGGTGGACACAGGCCAGGCTCTGCAAGTCCAGAGCTCATTAGCACTGGGGCCTGAGCTGCCTCCTTATTTCAATAGCTGGGGAGGCTGCCCCAGCTCTGGTGCTCCTGCTATTGTCACCACCAACCCTACTAAGACACCTCAGGACCCAGAATCTGGAGCTGCAGCCCCACCCCAAAGAACAAGGCACCAAGTCTTCCCCAATCCCACCCTCACAGACCCCTTAAGGGCCTGAACCCCCAGGGGGAGGGGACTGTGACAACAAGGATTGGGCTGGAGCCCCAGGAGGTCAGGAACGAGAGCACTGTGGCCGACCCTCACAATAATCATAACTGCATTTGCTGAGGAATTGCTATGTCCCAAGCCTGGTGCTAAGCTCTTCATAGTCTTTCTCTCCCATAATCCTCAAATTCAGAGGATAGGTGTCATCATTACCCTCTTTCTACTAGGGAACCTGAGGCCCTGGGGTGCACAGCCAGTGATGGCAAAGTCAGAATCTGAATGCTGATGGCGAACCCCAGAGCCCCCACCATTAACACCAGTATTAGTCCTGGGGCAGCTCCTGTGTGCACCTTGTTGCCTGCTCACAGCCTCACTCAGAGTCTGTCGTCTCACCTCCCCCATGGCACACAGCCAAGTCTCCTATCTGGTGCTCTGCAGGGAAGACCCCCATCTCACAGGCCACCCTGGCCCTTGGCAACTAAGGACCCAGGTGGGCCGAGATGTTCCAGGGGTGCACTGCTGGGGGTCGTGCAGGAGGCTTCGTCCCACTTCCCTTGTCCTACCCTATGCCTGTGACAACCTCAGTAAGTTTGGGGAATGCCA